GCCTGCCATCATGATCTCTGCTATGATGATAATGAACTAAGCCTCTGAAACTGTAAGCCCCAAATTAAATGCTTTCTTTTATAACAGTTGCTTTGATCACAGTGCCTCTTCACAGCAATATAACAGTGACTAAGGTAGTGACTCTCCACAAACTGAGAGCAATGAAATCATCAAAATATGGGAAAAACAAAGCCCCAAATAGACATCTCATGCCTCCAAGTGAGACATCCAATGCCAGGAATGAATTATACATAATTGAGTTGTCAGCCCCCATACCACTCAATATATTGCCAAGGCTGTTGGTTGCTTTCCAGAAACTAATTATAAGGCTATATTGCTGAAGACAACACATACACAACTCACTGAACACAGAGAAGTCAAAGGGGTTCCTTCCTAGAGCTTTCACCCCTACAGATTAATATTCATGCTACTGGAAAGTATTCTGCATACAGCCAAAGAAGAAAGGTAAAGACCATCCCAGTTACAAATGCTTCTATCTACAAGAGTGACTGACTGCAAGATACTTTAGTGCAATGGTAGCACAAAACTTGTAGGAGCAATCAAACACTGTCTGATTTGAGTGAAGGCTCACTCTATGAGATGGAACCCAGTGCTACTTGGGTGGCCAAGAACCTAAGACTAGATAGCTCAGGCATCTAAGAGAAAAACCAAATACTACTGTTCTGCCAAAATAACATAACAATAAAATGACTCCTAACAGCATTCTATACTCATAGATCTGTGCCTAGCTTAGCCATCATCAGAAATGCTTCCTCCTGCTGCAGATGGAAATGAATACAAAGACCCACAGTCAGAGGGTGAGAGCCCTGCGAAAACCTTGCCCTTAAAGAGCTGCCTCCATCAAGGCCCTCTCCTCAGGCCTCAGGGATGGAGGCCACAAAGGAAACAAGGCCCTCTAAGCACAGCATAACAGATACACATAGGAACTCACAGAGATCGAGACAGCATACACAGGGCCTACATGGCACTGTACCAGATGGGGTCCTAGAGCTCTTCAGCTAGGAAGGGGGCATACTCCCATCCCTAAGCCAGAGGCTATCTCCAATCAATAGCCACTTGTAAATGAAAGCTTAGCTTTTTGTCAGTGGGGAAACAAACTACTCTCAAGGGTAGGCCCGGTGCCCAGAAGTAAATGGCCAACAGATAATGAACTAAACAGCATCTTTAGAAGATGTTTGTCTCATAATGTTAAATCAGGAGTTTTTTTTAACCCTACAGGTCCTTTGTGTATATGTTATGGCTTCCAGTTTAGGGTTTTTATGGGATTCCTGTGTATGTGAATATGTCTGTGTCTATATGTGTTTATTGTGCTTTTTCTATGGTTCTTTTTCTTGTTTGGTTGCTTTCTCATATTCTGATTTATTTGGTTTTAGTTTGTCGTATTTATTGTATTATTATATTGTACCATGTTGTATTAATATTTCTTAGATATTTGTGGTTTTTTTCCTAAGGAGAGGCAGAAAGGGTGTGGATCTGGAAGGGGAGAGAGAGAAGGAAATGGGAGTGTTTAGGGGGAGAAGAAACCATAATCAGAATATATCCTATGAGAAAAATTATTTTCAATAAAATTAATTTTAGTGAATCTGTTGTTGCCAACATATTGATCTTCACTTTTAGCTGCCAGAACTGTGAGAACATAAATTTCTACTGCTTAAGACATCCAGCCTGTAGCACTTTGCTATGGCATGCCTAGAAAAACAGTAACACTAATACTTCATCATTTAGCTTTGGGATATTCTTATATTTTCTGCAGAGTTTCTGCCAGTGGCCATGCACTTTATTTTCATTTTGCTCACACTTGATCATGTCAGTCCAGAAATTCAATTTTCTTGGGTAATATGTGGTGATTTACATTTGTTAACCCCCTTGCACTACAACTCTGTCAATGAACTCCTTGAGGTTTTAAAATCTTTTCTTCTTTATATAGTCTGGAAACCAGCTGAGGTCTAGAGTGATACTGTTGTTTGGTATGGCTCTCAGCTCACTTCCTTCAGTCCCTATGCTCCCTCTTTCTATTTTCCATCCTTGGTTTGAAAAAGAAGACTATGAAGTGACTACTCTGTTTATTTCAGACAGAAGGAGGCACCCATAGAATTTTTTTCACTTGTTGAAAGTTTTTTAGAGTGGCTGTGTGTGTGGTAGATAGAGAGAGACAGAGTTAAGAGCCTGTCTCAGCTGACCTTCTACTCTGTACTGGAGAAAGTAAGCAAAGCTGTGAAAAAATAAAAAACATATCCAACTATTGGTGTACTAGCTATTGCACCAAACCCCTGCTTTTTATGGCTACCATAATGTAAGTCCAAATTAATATGGAAAATATTTTAAGTTGGTGGAGATAAATAATATAAAGTCTATTCACTGACAGAATTCACTGAAGATGGTAGAAATGAAAATTACAATTTTATAAAACACCTCATTGCTCTATTCTTCATGTTAAGCTCTGCCTCTTGTTCTCATCCACAAAATATATTAAACTTACTGTGGTTGTTCAGGATGGCTAGAGGCATTGTGAATCAATATTGCCCACTCTGCTCTATAAAGCTTTACAAGGGCCCTTGACATTGCATACCTGGGAGCCTAAAGAAAAAGTGTTTGACAGAGGGCAAAGGAGATCACATCTCTCCAAGTCAAGTGTGTGCTATTACGTGAATCACTTAGGAGAAACCCAGGCCCACACATCCAGTTTTCTATCAACACCTTCTGTTTAAGAGGAAATGGGTGTTTCTAAGTACTCTAGATATGTGTAGAGGTTCTGCTAGCTCTTTTTATTTTCCAGATGCTTCCCTCAACCACTCAGGAATGGAGAAAGAGCTAAGACACTTCCAAGAAGACCATGTACATTTCATAAATGAGCAGTAAACATGAAGTAGTTGCCAAATCAAATGACCTTCCTGTTAAAAAATAAAGAGTGGAGATGTGGAATGGTAGAAAACTTTCCTTCTTTGATCTACCCCTGTGTTAATCTTGCTCTCTTTGAGTGCCTATGGCCTTTGCACGTGTTTAAATTCCATTCACGCAATAGCTTTCTCCTTTTTAAATGGCTGTTTCTGGATTTAAAAGAAAAAATGTAGTGTTTACAGAATGATAGAATGATACTTGACTTTCCACTTGAGCATCATTTAAAAAAAAAATTGAACCATAAGATCTAGGAATGGACTTGAGCTAAAGCAGTGACCAACCAAGAAATGTTTTGGTGATAGAACAGGAAGGGATTGTGAGAGCTTAGTCAGAAGGGAGATCAGGAGAAGAGTGAAAGGACATTGGCCTCTTGCTCAGGGTCTCTCCAGTTGATGGTGGGTTTTTTTTCCCCTTCGATGATGTTTTCCTTTCTTCTACACAACTGCTTGTGAGCATATAGTGGTAACCAGACATGGGCAGGTTTTATCCACTAAACCTTCTTTGCTTCACAGAGATCCTTCATAAATAGACAAGCGTGTGCCTTATTTTAAAACCACATGATTGTTAGTTTTTCAAATTTTCATGGTGAATTAGATATTTCCTAGAAGTTGATACCCTAAGATCAGCTTTTGACAGCTTAGCAGTAGTGACACCTGCTAACAGGAACCTTATGACAATGGCATGAAGCAAAAGCAGAAACTCTAAGCCTCAGAGAAAACTTTCAAAAGCACAGGATCCAACACAAACAACACCTGAATTCTTTGTTTGACAAATAAGAAGAAAATTTTTTTTCTAGATAAATCTTTAGTTGTAGAATGGAACCCAAAGTAAAATCAGATTCATATTAGAAGTTCACACAGAGCCTCTCTATCCATAATGTGCTTTGCAATATTTTTTGAGTTCCTCCAAGAAATGTATTTTAGTTTATGATCCTTCTGGTCAAATGCAGAAGTCTAGTAACACTGTTTTTCAACATGAAAAGGGGGTTGTAATATAAATAAGAATGGCTCCCATGGGCTCATGTATTAAATATTTAATCACTATAAAGTGGCTTTATTAAGAAGAATTAAAAGGATTAGGAAATGAATTCTTATTGGAGAAAATGTGGACTTATTGGGGTGGGTGCGGCCTTGTTGGAGGACATACATCAATATACATCATTGGGGGTGGGCTTTGAGGTTTCAAAAAGCCTATGCCAGACCCAGATTCTCTCTGTTTCTCTCTCAGCTACCTATAGATCAGAAAGTAAAGCTCTCAGCTCCAGGGCCATGCCTGCCTGTGTGCCACCATGCTCCACATTACAATGATAATGGATGAACCCTCTGAAACTCTTAAATGCCTTCTTTTATGAGGTGCTGTGGTCATGGTGTGTCTTCACAGCAAAAGAACAGTGACTAAGACAAGGGCTTTTCTACAAAGTGACTTGCCTTGCCTGACCTTCATCTAAGGACTAGTAGAAACCTTGGGAAGTACCAGGGTATAGTAATTCAAATGCAAAAAAAAAAAAAAAAGTCAGCTATGAACTAAACTGACTGAGGAAATGTCCAATGAAATGTCTTAGATTCCAGAAAAGGGACTCACACAATTTAATTCCTTCTTGATTGTAGAAAAAAAGGACATCAAAGTACATCCTGCTTTGTGAAGAATCTATTACAATATTTTAAAAAAAACTCTTATTAAATATGTTTAAAGTGTCCTCTAAACATGCTGTCCACAGTGCTTCCCACTCCTCTGCGCGTGCATGCTGTGTGCGTGGCGCGCGTGTGTGTGTGTGTGTGTGTGTGTGTGTGTGTGTGTGTGTGTGTGTGTTTAAACAAGTGAGAAATTTATGTTTCAACCAGCTGAAGAGTCATTCTGCTGGAGTAAGGCAGTGGACATGCATGTAGTTATATATAAAATCATATATTACATGTGGTTTTCACGTGTGAGTGTAGGGGGAGCACGGGCCTTAGAATTTCACAGGGTTATTCTATTACAGAAGTCATGTGTCCCGGTCCTTTAACTGCTTCAGAATAAACACACCTTGGAACTGCCCCCTGGGGTTCTGGAAGCTGTTTGTGACTTAAGGATGATTGACTTACCATTTCCAAAGCAGTCTCCTTCAAAATCAAAGGCTTGGAAATGGATGCTCATTGTTTTCATTTGAAGCTGAGCTGACAGCTGGATGCTCTGCTCACTCACACACTTGAAGGAATGTCCAACTACGGTCTCAAACATCATCATACTATGCTTCATTCCCTGATAAGTTCTCTCTGAAGAGAGAAAGAAAAATGTAATGTGCCAGAACCCTGACAGTATCAATTGACTTCCAGGGGCTATGAGCCTGCCAGGTACCCCCACCTTCCCTCAGGTGGTGTGCCCTTGGAGTTCTGTCATCTTTTCTTCATGAAAAAAATTACTCTAGGTGTGCAGACTTTTTCTGTGCTCTGTTTGGAATGTACGTGAAATGTTTCACATAGTTTCCCATGTGAGAACATTAACCTAATGTTCTTCCTCTGGATTCTTTCACATTATCAGAGACAGAGTTATCAATCCCAGGGACTACAGTGAGTTTCTTAAAACTTTAGAAAGAGAAGTAAGATGGTTCCAACACTTAAAGTGTATGGTAATGAACCAGAACAAAGACAGACAAGTCCACAAATGGTGCATCTGCATGTCCTGAGACTGGATCAGTACACCAGGAGGAAGAACTCACCAGGAGAGGAGTTGCATCATACTTGGAAATGTGTCCTATTCCTTCTTTTTTCTGTTCAGAAAAGGGACCTGCTCATTATCTCAGGTATATCCTTTTCAAGAAGGTGATCTCTAAGGCAGGTGAGGTTAAACATATGAAAATTTTCATTTGCCCCAAATTGACACTCACCAAGCACTCTTCCAGTCATACTTTGTCTTTGTGAATGACAAAAAGAATTTCATGGGCCAGAGCACCAAAGTGTCTTGTCTGTTTGTCAGTTACAGTAAGGAATAATCTTACAAAAATTAACAAGTTGGAAAAAAGAAAATAAAATTAACAAGTTAATCTGAGATGATGTACTAAATTATCTGTTTACTGCATCATGTGATATACATCTGTAGCTTCCTTTATATTTTATCTACCTATCTCTAAATCATCTGTCTGTCAATCCAGATATCCTATTGCCATCATCCCCATTAACATTAAACCTGTGGTCAGTACTAGTGATAATGAATTACTGTTACTAATACTAGTACCAGCACCACACTGCCATGGGAACCATCATTACTGTGTCTACTGTTCCTCCTGCCCTTGATTACATGATCCTAGAACTAGTTTCCCCATCTTTTAGCCTCTGATATTCCTTTCCCACATTTCTTGAGAGTTGACAACCATACTACTGGCTAAAATCTGGTCCATCCCTAGTGATAACATTAAGCAATTTCTATTAGCACTCATAATCTTATTCTCTAGCCTCAATAAGATAGGTGTAAGTTGACACATATGAAAATTAGTTGTCAGTTGTGACAATATTTATACATTTAACCAACATCACTGACAAAGTCCTCCTGAGTAACATCACTAAAATATAGCAAATATGTTAAATAGACTTTACCCCCAGTTTCTTTTCTTGACAAATTTCATTAATAAGAGATCATTCATTAATAATGTTTAAACTGATCAAATGATAACACTTTGAATAAAAACTCCCAAGGCAGTAACTGACACAGTAGAGGAGCTCAATATAAATGTGTTATCTAGGGCTAGACTTTCGGGAGAAATATCTGAGGCCCTCTGTAGACTTGTTAGATTCATTTAAGAACATTATCTCTCTAAATGTCAATATTCATAATTTTTTTAAACATGCCCCACTATGGGGAATTTTCCATGAGGGAACCAAAATGGCCTTTCGTAAGTGCAAAGTTGAAACACCATTAGCTTAACCCAAATCTTCCTGTGGTATATTTATATATTTTGGAATAAAATCACAAGTCTTTAGCTTACGTATTCAGAGATTCTACATGCCCTAGACTGGCCATCCCTGGCACCTCATCTGCTATATGTTCACTCTCTAGGGCACATTAGTACCCTGATGTTCCTTAGCTTGTGTGGTGGCTTCATTGAGGATGTCCCGCATAGGCTCATATATTTGGATATTTTGTCTTGAGTTGGTAGTACTGCTTGTGGGTGTGGCCTTGTTGAAGGAAGTACATTACTCTGGTTGGGCTTTGAGTTTTCACAACTTCATGCTGTGCTTTTTCCCATGTGTTCTCTCTCTCTCTCTCTCTCTCTATCTCTCTCTCTCTGTCTCTGTGTGTGTGTGTGTGTGTGTGTGTGTGTGTGTGTGTGTGTGTTAGCTTATAGATCAAGATCTAAGTGTTCTGTTTCTTACCCCATGCCTTCCTGTTGCCACATTTATCTGCCATGATGGTGATGAACTCTTGTCTTTGAAACAATAAGCCAAATAAGTCCTTCCTTCTATAATTTACCTTAGCCATAAAGCTTTACTGCAGCAATAGAAAAGTAGCAAATACAACTACTTTAGTAAACTTACTCCTTAAGACACATGTATCTTTCATTACTGCCATCCAGAAAAGTTGCCTCAAACTAGATGTCCACAAATGGAGATAATCTGACCAAACCTCACATCTTCAAAGCAGTCTCTCTTCTGCTTCCCAAAGGGCACACAAAATAGCACTCCATTCTCTGACATTCTGGGTTTGGTTTGTTCATAGAACTCATTACCATTTAAGAATATAGTTTAACATAGCTGTGTATGGTGTTCTTCCCTTCTGGAATGCAAGAATCTTATCAGTTTGGATAATTATGACTCCTCGGTGTCTAACACAGACAGAGCTTGGTATCTATCTATATCTTATTTTTGTAGAATAATATATAATTTAGAGTACAGAATAAATTGCATTCCAAAAACAAATCCCTTAAAATTGTCCTGAACTTGCAATTTCTAAAAATAATGATTGCTGATATAATCTAGACCACCATCCTCCATGATCAGATAAACTTAAGTACATATGGGTTATGAGTTTCCCCAGAGTTTTATTATACACTACTTCCTTGTTATTAAAAAAAAATCAAAGAATATCAGAATGAATGATAAGAAAATGAGTGGACCAGAAAACAGTGATATGACAGCTGCTTTCTTACTAACCTGTATATGAGATAGTCAAATAGGCTCCCACTTCACTTATATAATATGAGTTTTCTTCCTGTAAAACAGCAATGTATTAGCCTTTGGGAAATCTCCATTTTTATATTTATAATCTTGGCTATTAAGTCTATTAAGTCCTTTATATGAGGACTGGACTATGGCATATGTTTGTGCTAGTCATAATTTTATTTGAAACATTCAACAAAAGTAAGCATATCACACAAATAAAAAATAAGTAATGAATGGCTCCTGGATCCAGATTTCTCTATTTATTACTTGTTGCTAGAGTCTGAAACTAAACTTCAACCAGAAGAATTTGAATTCTGCCAATTTCCCAAAAGACAATTATATCTGAAAAGCAGAGAGGAATGGTATTAACTTAGATACCCATCCTCAAGAATACATTGGGTGAAGTTTGACAGTTCATCAATCCTCTGGAGAAAATTAAATAAGCAAAATTGTATATGCATTTTCTTGGAAAAGGTTAATTGGTCTAGAGAGATAAATAGATTCATGTTTTCAGATTGGTTCAATGGGCCACCAAAAATGGAAAGACACTATTTTCCCTGAAGGCCACATTATATCCCCATGCTTATGTACAAGTTTTTATTATGGAAATAAAAAGAAACTACACAGCAATCCTACAGCAGCCTGAAAGACTAGAGGCACAGAATGCTCAATAGAATTAATTTGGGTATGAAGGAATCAATTTAAAAGGAAATTTGTGTATCTGTTTGGTGATAAGAATTGAATCCAGGCTGTCATGCAAAATAAGCATATACTCTATCACTGAGCTCTGTCCTTGGCCCTTTCTATTATTCAAAATTAATGATTTATATTGTTATCACCAGAATGGTATAAAAATAATAATAATGTAACCAAAAGTAGAATATAAAATCAAATTATTTACTTTTAAAAGTTTCACACGTGAACCCCCATCACCAGGCCTCTGTCAGAGGAACACCCTGAGTACCTGCTGGTTCAACTTTATCCCCCATGGCTAGGCCACTACGGGATAAGAGACCTCCTAAAGAGCTTTGACCACCCAGAGCTACAGACATCCAACTCCTGACCCACCTACACCTACGGGGAAAGTAGCATAGAGAGAGACTCCACCTGCACCCAACTGAAAAAAGGAAATACAGCAATACAAGAAAACACCTAACAATAGAAAGACAAGCATGACAACACCAGAATCTAAGGACTCTACACCAACTAGACCTGAACACACCAAAGCAGGTGAAGCAGAAGAGAATGATTTAAAAAAATAGAGATGATATGAGACAATCCCTTAAAGAAATAGAAGAGAAAAACAACCAAAAAATTGGAAGAAATAGAGGAAAAGACCAAGCCTTCCCCCCCCCAAAAAAAAAAATGCAAGAAATGAACAAATCCCTTAAAGAAAGTAAGGAAAGCCAAGAAAAAAACAATCAAATAGATGAAGGAAGCAGCTCAAACAGTTCAAGACTTGAAAACTGAAACAGAAAAAAAAGAAAACACAAACTGAGGGAATACTGGAAATACAAAATCTAGACAAATGATCAGGAACTACACATGCAAACATAACCAACACAATAGAAGAGATGGAAGAGACAACCTCAGGCGCTGAAAATAAACTAGAGGAAATAGATTCATCAACCAAAGAAAATCTTAAATCCACACAAAACATCCAGGAAATGTAGGACACCATGAAAAGGCTAAACCTAAAAATAATAGGCATAGAAAAAGGTGAAAAAGACGAAAAAGACCAGCTCCAAGGTGCAGAAAACAATTCAACAAATCATTGAAGAAAACTTTCCCAATCTGAAGGAGAAAATGCCTATGAAGCATACTGAACAACAAATAGACTGGACCAAAGAAAAAAGACCCCCCTCGACACATAATAATCAAAACACCTAACATACAGAATAAAGAAAGAATAATAAGAACAGTGAAGGAAAAAGGCCAGGTAACATATAAAAGCAGAACTACTGACTTCTCCATGGAAACTCTCAAGTCAAGAAGGTCCTGAGAGATGTTCTATAAGTACTAAGAGTCCACGGATGCCAGCACAGGCTACTATACACAGCAAAACTCTCAATCACTATAGACAGAGAAAACAAGATAATCAATGACAAAGCCAGATTTTCATAATACATGTCCAGAAATCCAGCCCTAGAGAAAGTTCTGGAAGGAAAACTCCAACCCAAGGAAGTTAAATACAGTCACAAAGATGTAGGTAATAGATAGTCCCACTTTACCAGAATGCAAAGGATAAAACAGGGCAAATATATTCACAGTACCACCAACTTCAACAAATCTAAAACAAACAAGAATTAACAATCAATGGTCCTTACTTTCCCTCAACATTAATGGTCTTAACTCACCTATAAAAAGATACAGGCCAAAAGAATGCATACAAAGACAGAATGATCCTTCTGTTGCATACAAGAAACACATCTAAGCTTCAAAGACAGACATTACCTCAGGGTAAAGAGTTGAGAAAACATTTTCCAATCAAATGGACCCAAGAAGCAAGCAGGTGTAGCTATCCTAATATCTGACAAGTCAGACTTCAAACCAAACTCAATAAAAAGAGAGGAAGAAGGCCATTTCAGATTCATCACAGGAGAAATACATCATCACAAAGTCTCAATTCTGAACATTTATGCCACAAATACAAAGACGCCCACATTCCTAAAAGAAACGCTACTAAAACTCAAAGCTCACATAAAACCTCACACTCTCATAGTGAGACACTTCAACTCCCAACTATCACCACTAGACAGAACCACCAGACAGAAACTTAACAAAGAAACAAAAGAACTAATAGAAGTTATGCCCCACTTGGATTTAACAGATATCTATAGAAGATTCCATCCAAACACAAAAGAATATATCTTCTTCTCAGCTCTACATGGAACTTCTCTAAAAATCAGCCACATACTAGGCAACATAACAAACCTCAACAGATACAAAAAAAATTGAAATATTCCCCTGTATCTTATCATGCTTTAAAGTTGGAATTCAACAACAATACAAATTGCAGAAACCTTAAAATACATGGAAACTAAACTATGCCCAATTGTACCATACGTGGGTCACGGAAGAAATAAGAAAGAAATTAACATTTTTTTTTAAAATTCAACAAGAATGAAGACACAACTTACCCAAACTTATGGGACACTTTGAAAGCAGTGCTACAAGGAAAGTTCATTGCACTAAGTGCCCATATGAAGAAAACAGAGGATAGTCACATTAGAGAATCAACAGCACAACTGAAAGCCTTAGACAAAAAAGAAGCAAACTAACCCCAGAGGAATATATGCCAGGAAATAATCAAGTTAAGGGCTGAAATCAATACAGTAGAAACTAGGAAAACAATACAAAAAAATCAATGCAACAAATAGTTGTTTTGTTTTTTTTTTTTTTTTTTTGAGAAAATCAACAAGATAGACAAACCTTTATCCAAACCAATCAAAAAGCAGAGAGGGGACATGCAAATTAACAATATCAGAAACAAAAAGGGGAACATAACAACGGAAACTGAGAATATCCAGACAATTTTCAGGTCATACTTTGAAAACATGTACTCCACAAAATATGAAAATTCAAAGGAAATCGAAAAATTACTGGATAACTATCACTTACCAAAATTAAATCAAGAACAGATAAGAAACTTAAATAGACCTATAACCCCTAATAAAATAAAAGCAGTCATCAACAGCCTTCCAACCAAACACAGCCCAGGACCAGATGAATTCAGTGCATAATTCTACCAGAAGTTCAAAGAAGAGCTAATACCAATACACCTCAAATTGTTCCACACAATAGAAGCAGAAGGTTCATTACCAAACTCTTTTTACGAGGTCACACTTACCTTGGTACACAAGCCACATAAAGACACAACTAAGAAAGAGAACTACAGACCAATATCCCTCATGAACATTGATGCAAAAATACTCAATAAAATACTAGCAAATCGAAACCAAGAACACATCAGAGAAATCATCCACCATGACCAAGCCAGATTCATCCCTGGGTTGCAGGGATGGTTCAACATACAAAAATCTATCAGTGTGATCACTACATAAACAATCTGAAAAACAAAAGCCACATGATCATCTCATTAAATGCTTAAAAAGCCTTTGACAAAATTCAACACACTTTCATGATAAAGGTTTTAGAGAGATCAGAGATAACAGGAAAATACCTAAAGATAATAAGAGCAATATACAGTAAACCAATAGCCAACATCAAACTGAATGGAGAGAAGGTTAAGACGATTTCTCTAAAATCAGGAACAAGACAAGGCTGCCCTCTCTCTTTCCATATCCCTTCAATATTGAACTTGAAGTTCTAACTAAAGCAATAAGACAACAAAAGGAAATCAAGGGAATGTAAACTGGAAAGGAAGAAGTCAAACTGTCACTATTTGCAGATGATATGATATCTTATATAAGCAACCCAAAAATCTCTACCAGGGAACTCCTACAGCTGATAAACACATTAATCAAACTAGCACGATACAATATAAACTCAAAATATATCAATAGCTCTACTATATATAAGACAACAAAGGGGCTGAGAAAAAATAAGAGAAACATCACCCTTCACAATACCCACAAACAACATAAAATATCTTGGGGTAACAATTACAAAACAAGTCAAAGACCTATATAGCAAGAACTTTGTCTTTTTAAGAAAGAAATCAAAGAAGATACCAGAAAATGGAAAGATCTCCCATGCTCTTGAATAGGGAGGATCAACATAGCAAAAATGGCAGTCTTGCCAAAAGCAATCTACAGATTCAATGCAATTCCCACCAAAATCCCAGCACAATTCTTCACTGACCATGAAAGGATAATAATCAACTTTATATGGAAAAATAGAAGACCCAGGATAACCCAAAACAACCCTGCACAATAAAGGAACTTCAGGAGGCATCACCATTCCCAACTTCAAACTGTTCTACAGAGTTATAGTCCTGAAAACAGCCTGGTACTGGCACATAAATAGACAAGTAGACCAATGGAATTGAAACAAAAATCCTGATATTAACCCACACACCTATGAACA